GCAGATGTAACAGTAAGGTGTGCAGATGGGTTGTGAGAGGGAAAGCAAGAAGCAAAAATGGCCAAATGTTAATGGATGATCAGTCTTGATGGAAGGTACGCAGGAGGGGTAAATTTTTGCAACTTTTCTTGATGTCTGAGCCTTTTTTTTTTTTTTTTAAGTTTTTTTTTTGCCATAGGATGCATGTACTCACTGGAGAGACAGAGAGAGGGAAAGTGAGTAATCATCCCCCACTCCAGTGGGGATGGGCATACTGTAATCCCATCCTTAGTCTTGTCTCAGGATTTTGGGGGAAAGTGAGTACACATTCCCAGTGTGATTTTCAAGCCATTGGGTCCAGGGCTCAAACTGTGATGAGCCATGTGGGAGTCCAGCGCCTTAACCACCATGCCACCTGATGGCTCTGTCTGAGCCTTTTTTAAAAAAAAAATGTTCAGAAGCCAGCCAACCAGCCAGCCAGGGACATCCTGCTCTGTACCTTCCAGACTAAGGTGATGCAGGCCACATCCTCGCCTCCCATTGTCTTGTCAGGGCACTTTTCCTAGCAGAACTTCACACAGCACTGGCCTATATCTGTTCAGCCCAAGCCAAGATGGTTTCCTTGAGAGAGGACTCGTTTCTGTGGAGAGAGAGGAAACATCTTCTCTCTGACTTCTCTGTAGGCAAAAGCAGAAGCATCCTGGGACTCTGCAGTCCACAGCTGCCCTCAGCTCAGTAAAGGCACCCCCACAGACGAGCGTGTGTTTCTGATTGTGCGTGTGACGGTCCAGCTCAGCCACCCTGCCGACATGCAGTTGGTATTACGCAAGAGAATTTGTGTCAATGTTCATGGCCGGCAGGTGAGTCTTTGATCCTAATTGAAGAAATTACTTTTGCCACAATATGAGAGCAAGGCCTTGGGGTGGTTACTCTGACTGTCTATCCAAACGTGGTCTGTGGAGCACTGAGCACTTCTTTTCCAGGTGACTTATTGTCCTATAACCATTCTTGCTTCAGTCCACAACGTCATGTCGTCATCTCTCTTATGTCATATTCACAAGTTACGGTCATTCTTTCAGGTGTCATGGAGCCCTGCTCAGAGGACTCTCAGTGGTTCTTGGCTACCTCTCCTCTGGGCCCTGCAGATATGGAGATGCCTTGGCAGATCAGGGGTAGTTCATTAACCCAGGGCTGCTCACCCTTTTCTTCCTCCACCTTGTATTCCTTGCAGTCTTTGATTCCTGTATTTGGCTTTGGGATGACAGCAAACAATAGTCTGTTTTCCTTAAGAGCCTGAGTCTATCCTTGCCTATAGATGCATGAGCAGGCATCCACTCTGTTGGGATGCATGCCGCTGTGCAGGTGTTGACCACGTGTGTTAAGATGGCAGGTGAGAGTGAAGAATGCAGCTTCAGGAAGTCAGGGGAGGCTTCAGAGAGGAGGTAGCGCCTGAGGGGCTCTGTATAAATGAGGGCCATTGAGGCAGAGGAGAAGTGACTATACAGAGATAGGGAGAGCGGGAGGGCAGGGCTGACTTGGAGAACCCCAGCAGCACAGTGGGACAGGGTGTGCTGCATGTGACGAGGTACACTGCGTACGCCAAGGAATGTACTGTGGCCACACTATGAAGGACCTTGTGCCAGTTTGCAGGGCTTTAGCAGAAAACTTCCAGGTAAGTTTTCTGTTTGTTTTTTGGATTTGCAAATAAACAGAACTGGGCGGTTGATTCTGGAATCCTTTCTGTCGTACCTTCTTTTTTTGAGGCCTTCTCAATATACTAACTAAAACCAGTGCAGAGGAAAATAAATCTTTTCATTTAAAAGAGCACAGTCATGGTTGACAGACTCCTAGATGTAATCTCCACCCCTAAAAATTAATCTTTAGTTCTAAATGTCACACCGATATCAATCTTTGAAATGAAGACTGGCGGTAATGCTGTTAAAATTGCAGCTCTTTAGCTTGGCAATCCAACATCAATAAAATCCAGGTCACAGGGTCAGCTATAGATGTATATGGTGTGTCTCCCGTTCACTCTGTCTGTCTCCCTTTCCTCATAAGTCTGTAAGGGATTGAAAAAGACACACTGTTCTCTGGGAGCAATTTGAAGAGTGATTTTCCATTTCAGAATTTAACATCCTGGTTGCCAGGCCCTGAGACTTACCTGGCACAAGTACCAGCCCTACAGAGTCCTCACCAGAAAGGGTACACTGCGTAATCACCAAGTTTCTTTTGCTTGCTTTTTAAAGAGTTATTCACTTTTACATTTAATTTGTTATTATTTATTTCTTTAATTTGACCAGAGGGAGACAGAGACAGAAAGAGAAGGTGAGAAAGCAAACTGCCAGGCTCAGGACTTGAACCACAGTTGACCATGTGGGAATCGAGCACCTCAACCACCAGACCATCTGCCAGCTCCTGTTTGTTGTTTTTACTTTTCATTTAGGGGTAATGAGTTGCCGCATAGTCTCCCTGGCTGAACTGACTGAAGTTGTTTCGTTTTGTTGTTTTTGCTTTTTAGGTGTGTGCCATGGAGCGCTTGTGCTTGCTAGAGTGAGACAGTGAGAGGGCAAGTGAGAAATTTTTCCCCAGGATGCATGGCCATGCCACAGACCTTTCTCCTTCTCCATTCTCCATCTGGGATTCTGGGCATACGCAATACTGTGGTGTGATTTTCAAGCCGCTGGGTCCAGGACTTGAACTGCAGTCAGCCATGTGGGAGTCCAGCACCTTAACCACCACACCACCTGCTGGCTCCATTTGGAAGTATTTTAAGGCATTTCCTTTTCCCTCTCAATATTGGATATTTTATTTCTAAAAATTGTGTCTTTCTATTAAGAACAAGGGCTTCCATGTGACCCTATGACATTTAAGTCAGCTTCATTAATTCCATACAAATAGAAAATAAGAAAATTTCTTATTTTCATTACTAGCTAGTAATGATATCCACACCTCCTTCCATCACTTGTTAAAAAACAGCTCTCGCTGGAGGCCCAGACATGGTGGTACAGAGATAGCACCGTTGTTTGGGAGGCCGGAAACTGCATGGGAGGCTGGGTCAGTTCCCTGGCTAATCTGAGCATGCCAGGCACAGCAATGTACCTGTGATCCTGGCTATTAAGGCAGCTGGGGCAGGATCACCACACAGAGAAACCCTGTCAGAAATCCCTGTCTCTCTGTCTCTCTCACTCTGTCTCCCCTCTCTTACTTCCCTCTCATAGAAAAGCAGTCATAGCCGTACTTCTACCTGTGTAAGCTCAGCACTGCAAGGCTGCAAGCTCCAGTTGTGGGAGTGAAGGGATAAAATAATGGTCACTTTGCATTCTGAGAAGCTGAAGTCTTTTTAAAAAATTAAAGCTGACAGAATGTGAAATAAATTAGTGTTAGGTTTGTGAAATTATGTGTTTCTAGGACTACATTGCTTGTTTTTTTTGTTGTTGTTTGTTTGTTTGTTTTTAATTACCTTTGGGAGTTTTCACATTTCTGCTTCCACTTTCACATGGGGAGCTGGCTCGGTGCTCGTTTCATGCCGTCTCTCCCTCCCTCTGTTCACCAATTGTATTCTAGCCTCATCACTGCTCTCTTCAACCTCTACAGGGTGTTCAGTCTTAGCAGCATCCTCAAATGAGTCATCTCTGCATTAATTCAACAGCTCAGTTCTTAACTGCGCAAAGAGCGCAGTCAGCATAAACAATGACCATGCAGTCTTAAATCATCCTTCATAACGATCCTGCTTCGGTCAAGAATTTAATGCCCGAACTTGTCAATATTCATGGTACAAGATGTCCATCGTGCTGGGGCGGGGTGGGGGAGCGGACGCGTCAGCCGTGCTCACACTTGAGTGAGAAGGTCATTTTGCTGCGTGGAAGTCGACAGTCCCCTTTCAGGAGTACATAAGCAGAGTTGATCCCCATGGCTAGTGTCGGTTCCCGGACTCTGGGCTGTACGTTTCATAGATTGCTTATGGCACTTGTCACATCTCTCAAACATCTAAGAACTTGGTTTTGGTGCATTAGGACAAAGTTGTGGAGACTATTTGGTGATTTGGAATTTACCTGCTTATGCTGGAAACACGCTGTCTTCTTTTGGTTAGAATGAGCACAATATCCTTTATGCTGTCTCTTTGTTAATGCAAACTCGGTTTTCAAGTGCAAGACCTTGTCTTCTATTTTGTTTTTCTCTAGGGTTTTGCTCAGAGTCTCCTAAAAAAGATGTCGCATCGAAGTTCTATTCCTGGCTGTGGAGTGACTTTTGAAATTGTCTCCAATATTCCAGAGGTGAAGTATCATATGCAATTTGAATTTACTAAAAATAAACACTTAAAAAGGGCAAACTCCCTAAAAATTCATCTACCCAGGATACAGGTATTAAATGAAAATGTAGTGAAATGCTATAGGTTTTAGAGGAATTTCTTAAACTTAATTCATAGTAAAATGTACTTGTGCTTTAAAAGTTCTGGTATTAGTATTTATTGGAGGAACTTTCTTTTGAGAAGCAAATGAACACTGGGCCAGACAGCAGTGTGGTGATTAAGGTGACTGGGACCCACGTGGCCAACTGCACGGTTTCAGTCTCGGACCCAGCGCCTTGAAAAATATGCCTGGTGCATGTGCATATATACTCCAAATCCTAAGAAGAGAATGGAGTTGAGGAGGGATTGCAGCGTGACCATCCAACCTGGATGGTGTTTTCTCACTTTCTGTGTGTGTGTGTGCATGTTTGTCTCCAGGGAGTACATGTACCCTGTGGCAAAAACAAAAATAAACAAACAAAAGCAAATGAGCACCTTTTTACCTACAAAACATAGCATAAAGGTTCATGTTTAACTTTGGAGTCAAACAGAAATCTTGTTTCTGAAATTTATTAGCAACGTGAACTTAAGCAAATTACTCTGAGCCTTAACGTTCTTCATTTGTCACAGGGGGGTTAGTAATATTCTGCACAGGGCTGCTTTTAAGGATTAAATGAGACAGTGCATAAATGATTGTGCACATACTTAACAATAAATTGTAATTGCTATTTTTATTTGTGTTACTGCACTTATCATTTTATTACTGCTCTTGCTTCTCTTTCTGAACTATTAGGTATTGGGAAAGTCACAACATATTTTACTGTGCAAAAATGCATCATGACTTTCCTGAAGACCCAATAATTAAGACAGAGGATTCAGACAAGTAGAGCTTAAAATCTGCCTAGAGGGACCAACAGTTGGCGTAATGGCTATGTCACTGGACTCCCATTTAGTCAGCTGTGATTCGAGTCCCAGTCCTGGTGCCTTAAACTCACGCCGGGTGTGTGTGCATGCATGCATGCCCAAGATCCCGAGAGGAGAATGGAGGAGAAGGGATTGCGGTGTGGCCATTCCTCCTGGGGAGTGATTTCTCCTTTTTTTTTTGTCTCTCTGTCTCAGTCTTTCTAGTGAGCACAGATACCCTATAGCAAAAACCTCTCAAAAAAACAAAACAAAACAAAACAATCTGCCTGATAGAAGCATGATGAGGAGGTGGCTTATACACACTTTCTGATACTTAACCCCTGAATTGGATTAGTTCACCCAGGCGCTGGCACAGCAGGACAGTAGTGTGTTCCTTGCAGGGGTAGAAGGTTAGGTCCCAAGAACAGGACTGTGGAGGTGGAGACTGTAGTTTCCTCCAGTGGGAAAAATTCAGTGTGAGACGTGGAGCAGCACCACTCCCTACCATGCCATCAGCACAGTGCTCCTCCTTTCACCTCAGGGTTTAAGATTTGCTCATTTGTTCTGTTGAGTGTTTGGCAGGTGGGTGGACAATGTGCATTTACCTTTTTTGTTTGTTTTTTAGTTTACCAGAGGGTGCATGTACTCTCTGGAGAGAAAGGGAGAGAGAAAGTGAGAAAGTACCCTCCAGGGGAGAGGAACACACTACAGCCCCTCTCCTCCATTCTCTCAGGGCTTGGGGCATGCACACACACATGCCAGGTGTGTTTTTAAGCCACAGGGTCCAGGACTTGAACTGTATACTCATTTATGTGGGATCCAGCCACCTTAATCTCCATGCCACCTGGTTGGCCCAGTAATGTATATTTTGATGAGAGATCAGCTCTGGTGGAAAAGGATAAAGGTAGATAACCCAGTGCTTAGATTTTGTTCTAGGTAACTCTTATTGTAAAAGGTCTCCTTTCCCCTCAAGTAACATCTCAGAGTAAGCTGACTCTTGCCTGGATCTTCAAAGTGTTAGATTTACCTAGTAAGTAGTGACTATGGATTTAATTTGGAGGCTGCTAAACATTTAAAAAGTAAGGCTGTTTATGGAGTTAGGCTAGTTGCAGAATTTGGGGGTTGTAACAGATAACTTTGTGAGCATTATTTGCTCTTCTTTGTAAGACTTAAAACAAATGTACCTGTATGGCTAGCTACAGACTGTCTATTCGCTGCACCTAAACGTCTTACATGTTTTTCCAGGTTCAGATCTTGTTCTATAAATACCTTGAATGCAGCTGAGAAACAGTGATCTTTACAGTGAACTGCCTTCAGTCTTCCCTTTCAAATCTCTCATCTCCTCTACGCCTTCCTTCCCTCCCACTTGTAGTTTCCTAGTCTCTTTACAAGTGGTTTCATTCCTTAGGCGATGTGTTAAGGAAGAAATGTGGAGAAATCAGCTCCAAGATTAAACAGAGCCAGGGAACCAGCAGTTAGCGTAATGGCTATGTCGCTGGACTCCCACGTAGTCGACCGCGGTTCGTGTCCCGGACCCGGTGGCTTAAAACTCACGCCGGGCGCGTGTGCGTGCGTGCCCAAGATCCCGAGAGGAGAATGGAGGAGAAGGGATTGCGGCGTGACCATCCCCCCTGGGGGGTGATTTCTCGCTTTCTGTCTCTATGTCTCTCTCTGTCTGGCGAGCGCATGCGCCCTACAGTGAAAATCTCTCCAAAAAAAAAAGATTAAACAGAGCCACATTTGACTGGGCTGTTAATAATTAGCTAAATATCGGGGCTGGCAGGTGGCATGGTGGTTAAGGGCACTGAACTCCCACATGGCCAACCGTGCTTCTAGTCCCAGACCTAGCAGCTTGCTTTCTCACCTTTCCTCTCTCTCTCTCTCTCTCTCTCTCTCTTTCTCTCCCCCTCTCACTCTCTCCCTCTCTGGTCAAATTAAAATGAATAAATAAAGTTAAATAAAATACTTCTTTAAAAAATTAGCTAAATATCTCAGTTGACGTTTCACACTCTCAAGTCCCAGAGATAAAGAAAGAGGAAACGTGAAACTTGAAGAGTACAGTGAAAAGACTAGACCTTAGACAAAATCAAAGGATCCTTTACTAAGCTAGGTTCCCTCCAAAAAGTTCCTGAGCTACTAGGACAAGATGGCCAGAAGAGGTGGTCCGAGGCTGAAGAACTATACGAGACAGTGTATTTCCCTCTCCTTATGAAATCTGGCTAACAGCTGTTCCCTCCAGATAGCAAAAGTTTTCCGTGTCAGGTGGTGAAAGAATACTCTACCAGGAGCCAGGAGACCTGTGTTCTAGCCTTGCACCTTTTGCTAATTGTGTGGCCTTCAATTTTGTCATCTATAAAATAAAATAGGTTCCTTCTTTCCACAGTTATTACATGGCTCAGATGAATTGCTGTGGGAGACAAAAGTTCTTAGGGATTTATGCCATCTTACAAATCCTCCCATATTTAATTTGTTCTAGGATTCATTTAGCTTTTAAAAAATACTTTTGTAGGTACAATGTGTCTTATAATTGTTGCTATCTTAAAATTAATTGTCAGTTTTTTTTCCTTCTTAGTACTACATCATAAAAGGATATTTTGTCTTAGAGTTGATGGCATTTAAGATGCAGTGGCATATGTGTGGTCTGTTTTGTAGATTTTGACATTATTATACAAAATTCACAACTAAATAAAGCATCTGATTTTCCCTGATAAAAGTAACTTGTTGAGAACTCTTTGCTTGAAATAATTAGACTACTAAAGTCCCTCCCTGACTTGTGAATAGCTCAGTTAGAGTGGGGTGGGCCCTAGAAAGCCCAGGGAGGGGGAAATGACCCCCGATACTGCTCGGCTTGATAGACTTCCAGCCTTTGGCCTCTGACTCTCCAGGGCCAAGAAATGAGACCAGTGTTAGACGCTGCTGTATCGGAGTGTGCAGTCAGTGTAGTAACAGGAGACGAAACTTCAGACTCGTTTTGGCTCTGCCCTCTACACTGGGTCTTCCTCCCATTAGAGTGCTGGGAGTCCCGCCTGTGTCTGGCTGGTCACCCCAGGTCCTCTTCCCTCTCTCTTACCCTTTAACAGTTCAAGGGGTGATGGTTCTTAACATTATTGCTATGGTGGTTATGTTTCTTGCCAGTCTGCAAGATCTTTTGTAACTATTAGTGTTTTTTGTTTTGCTTTGCAACACAGTAATGGATAGTGGAGAAGGTGTAGGACCCAGTGATGGATGGTCGTTGAGAAGGTGCTAGGTTTCAGGTCTGCAGTGTTTAACTAGTCCTTCAAGTAACCTATTGGGTCGTCAGAAAAGTCATGACGTATTTTTCTGTTTTTGTATACACGGATGCATCATGATTTTTCCGATGACCCAGTAGTACCCTCATTTTATTATTTCTGTAGGACGATGCATTTGATTTCCAAAAGCTGATTTGAAAGTGGAATTTTGGAATGCATTCTGTTTGCTAGTTTAGAACTCTGTGCACATGCGCACGTGCACACATGTGTGTGTATAGACTGAGAACCTTTTATGGTGTTTTGTTCTGCAATGCTCTCAATTTTAATGTACAACGTTCTGTTCTTCAGGATGCCCAGGGAGTAGAGGAACGAGAGGCCTTAGCAAGAATGGCAGCGAATGTTGAGAACCCGGCTTCTGCTGACTCAGAGGCTTACATCGAGAAGTACCTCAGGAGTGTGCTGGCTGTGGAAAACCTTCTCACTCTGGACCGCCTTCGCCAGGTCAGCCAACAGTGACTAGAGTTGGTAGCAGCAGTGTGAACCCAGCCGTATTTTGTGTTTGACTTTCACTAACTCACCGTATTCTTGTGTCTACACTTCTGAAGCATTGACTGTAATTAACTTTGGGAGATTGCCATTAGGGCATTCTGTCATGTGATGTAGCCATCATTTAAATAACTAGGAGTGTCTGTATATACGTAGTGGATCAAACCTGATTCTTACAGAATGCTTTCGGGGCGCGTCCCTTATGTGTATTTTTCCTCTGTGTGTTTTCTGATTGGCAGGAAGTTGCAGTGAAGGAGCAGCTAACGGGAAAAGGGAAGTTGAACAGGAGGAGTATCAGCTCTCCGAATGTGAACAGGGTGAGTCCATGGGGTCCCAGTCTGCAGTGTCCGAGATCTCTTTTCTCTCTTCTTTTCTTGGAGAACTCTTTTCGGCCCTCTAAGTCTCATGTCAGTTTTAGTTTTCTTCCCCAGACTGATTTCCATCTTTCTGTTCTTTTTCCCCATGGCATGTGTGTGTACTCTGTCACTGCTAGTATTAGAAGGAAAGTGTCATTTTGTGTGTTTGTCTTTTATCTTCCTACCACTGCTGCCTAGCACAGACTAGGTGTTCCGTGAATGTTTGTGGAACTAAACCAGAACTAGCCAGTTTTAGGGTAAGCCAGTTACATTTTCTGGGTTCAAAATGATTATTTACTTCCAAAATTTATTTCTTCTCTGAGGGAGGTTGGGGTAGAAAGAGAGAGAAATAAGCACCCCTAACAGAGTTTGTATGCTACACGTTACCCCATCTTAGACCAATCAGGGGCACATATGTGTATGCCTAGCACACACAGAAGCTCTCGGGCTGTGAACCCATGGCTGTCCCACATGGGTCCGATTGTATGCCCACTGTGCTACCACCTAGACTCAGTTTGTTTTTGCATTGAGTAGAAGTCTGGATCTGGTTTGCAGAGTATTTATTTGCCTACAGGCAATTGAGTAAATAGGTTTGCTTCATAATGGTGAATTGAGTTTGTTATTCTTTTTATTTTTATTTATTTATTTATTTATTTATTTAAGAGGTTTTCACTATAGGGCGTGTGCGTTCGTCAGACAGACAGAGAGAGACAGAGAGACAGAAAGCGAGAAATCACCCCCCAGAGGGGATGGTCACGCCACAATCCCTTCTCCTCCATTCTCCTCTCAGGATCTTGGGCACACACGCACACGCGCCTGGCGTGATTTTTAAGCCACCGGGTCCAGGACGTGAACCGCGGTTGACTACGTGGGATTCCAGCAACATAGCCATTACGCTAACTGCTGGTTCCCTCTTTTTAATATTTTTTTAAAAATTATTTTGTTTACCTTATTTATTTATTTATGTACATTTGACCAGAGAGTGACAGAGTGAGAGAGGCAAAGTGAGAAAGCAAGCCACCAGGTTCAGGACTCGAATCACAGTTGACCATGTGGGAGTCCAGTGCCCTTAACCACTATACCACCTGCTGGTCCCTATTTTGATATTATTTTTTAAAAAACATAATATAATTTGTGTGCATTTAGATCATGTGACTGGTTCTTCACAGAGAAATAAACTCATGGCCCCTTGATTTATTCCTCTGTAGCCCCCTTTTTTTGAGAGGTTTTCACTATAGGGCGCGTGCGCTTGCCAGACAGAGACAGAGAGACAGAAAGCGAGAAATCACCCCCCAGGGGGGATGGTCACGCCTCAATCCCTTCTCCTCCATTCTCCTCTCGGGATCTTGGGCATGCACGCACACACGCCCGGCGTGAGTTTTAAGCCACCGGGTCCGGGATGCAAACCATGGTCAACTACGTGGGAGTCCAGCGACATAGCCATTACACTGACTGCTGGTTCCCTGTACCCCATTTTTGATAAAGATATAGATGTAAAAAATATTACTCTCTTGTTTTAACTCCACATGAAGAAACCTGCAATATTAGCGAGGGAAAAAGGAGCAGCTAAGCCTTAGCCTTGCTGTTGAGAGAGAAGGCGAGTGACAGGAAGTTTTTCCTACCAAGAGTCCATGTGACCCAACATCACCAGGGACCTCAAGCAGAAAAGTTGGGACCATTCACAGATATTAAAAATAGCACTTTAGGGGCTGGCAAGTGGCGTGGTGGTTAAAGGCACTGGATTCCTGCATGGCCGACCACAATTTGAGTCTCAGACCTGATGGCTTGTTTTCTCACTTTCCCTTTTTTTCTCTCACTTTGTCTCTCTCTAGTCAAATAAAAAAAAAGTAATAATAACAAATAATTTTTATTAACTTTATTATTTTAATTTGACCAGAGAAGGACAGAGCGAGAGTGAGAGAGAAGAGAAAGCAAGTCGCCAGGTCCACGACTTTAACCGCGGTTGACCATGTGGGACTCCAGCGTCCTTAACCACCACACCACCTGCTAGCCCCAATAAATAAATTTTTTAAGAGATTTTTGCTATAGTGTTCATGTGTTCACTGGAGAGACAGAAGACAGAGAGACAAAAAGCAAGAAATCACCCCCAGGAGGGATTACATAGCCACAGTCCCTTTTCCATTCTCCTCTTGGGATCTTGGGCATGCACGCACACGCTCCCAGCATGAATTTTAAACTACTAGACCCGGGACTTGAACTACTGTCAACCACATGGGAGTCTAGCGACATAACCATTACACTGTCTGCTGGTCCCAGTAAATAATTCTTTTTTTTTTTTAGTTTTCTTTTTTTTTCTTTGATAATTCTTAAAAAAAGAGAAAAAAAATCTTTAAAAAATAGCATGTTAAGGTAAATATTTTCTCACTCTTTCAGAAAATGATATTAAAATACACTAATATATGCAGAGATTTGGTCTTTGGGATCCTGTAGTTTAATATAGTTTTTTTTTTGGAGAGTTTTTTTGTTTTGTTTTCTTTTGTTTTGCTTTGCTTTGCTATAGGGCACGTGCGCTTGCCAGAGAGACAGAGAGAGAGATAGACAGAAAGCGAGAAATCACCTCTCGGGGGATGGCCATGCTGCAATCCCTTCTCCTCCATTCTCCTCTCGGGATCTTGGGCACGCACGAACACATACCCGGTGTGAGTTTAAGCCACCGGGTCCAGGACTTGAACTGCGATCGATTACATAGGAGTCCAGCGACATAGCCGTTACACCAACTGCTGGTTACTTAAAATAGTTTTTGAGTTTACAGTTGCTACAGATACCCAGGAAAAAGGTCATAGGCTCAGGCCGTGGTAAGATAACCAGTAACGTAGTATCTGTTAAAAGAAGAGGGCCAGCAAATGAAATTGCTCTTATTTGAGTTTGGCCAGTTGTTCCTCAGTGTAAAGTGGATCTTATATAGACCTGTCATCTAAAAATGGTTGGTTCCCAGGTCAGGGTTTTAATGTCCCCAAGGACACTGGCCACTGGTCTGCAGCCTTGGTCTTTAACAGCCTCCCTGCTGCCACTCACCTTTTTTATAAGATTTTAAACTAATTAGTTTACTTATTTATTAATTGCCAGAGGACATATACACTTGCCAGAGAGAGACCAAGAGAGGAAGAAAGTATCCCAATAATCCCTTTTCCATATCTTCATCGATACTCAGCATGCTTTTCAAGTTCCTGGGGGACGGGTTCAAACTGCATCATCAGCCATGTGGGGATCCAACTCCCATAACCACCAGGCCACGAGGTCAGACCCTGCCATCCACCTTTAACAGGGTGAAAGCTGGTTTTCTAAGGTGCAAGGACCATATGTGTGCTCTTACATATATTGATAAGGAGCTGATCTCTCTTTATATTTTCTTAGTTGTCTGGAAGCCGACAAGATCTTAATCCATCATACAGCCTGGGCAGCAACAAGGTAAGCATTTGTTTTCAGCAGTTTGAGACCTGTTTCCCTTTCAACTTCCATTTTCTCAAATATGACAGGTTATTTTAGCATGCCAACATTTCTCCTATTCGTCCATATGATGTAAAATTAATTGGAGAGTCCTTAAGTTTATGTCTTTTAATCAACCAGCTAAAATAAGGTTTATTAGTGGGACCAGATGGCATAATAGTTACGTTGGTGGACTCCCTCATAGTTTTCTGTGGTTTGAGTCCCAGACCAGGTGGCTTAAACTCATGCTGGGCACATGTTCATGCATGCCCAAGATACCGAGAGGAGAATGGAGAAGGGATTGAGGAATGGCCATCCCCCCTCGGGGAGGAGGGAGGTGATACCTAGGGAGGGGGCGCTCTGGTTCCCTCCCTCTCTGGGGAGTGTATGTGTGACTTCTGGCAATTAAAAAAAAAAAAAAAGAATAAGAAGAAAATAAGGTTTACTAGGCCCTCTTATGACCACGGTGAAAAATAATTATTTTGTGAAAATGCATATTTCTGTCTAAAAGTAACATCAGATCAGATTTCTAATAGTGAAATATTGATACGATGATTAAAAACTTATGAGAAACAAAAAATTATACTGAAAAGTTAATGTAATTTGTTGGAAGAAAGAAAAGGGGAACAGAAATTTTGTTAGCTGGAATTTATTTACTTTTTCATATAGCTTCCCCACTTACCAGAGTTTTAAGCATAGACGACTCATTTTTATTTACTTAAAAAAGACGAGCACTCCTTGAAATTGCCTTATCTAGATGTCACACATCATGGTTTGTGCCTGCCATTTTTTGTTTCTATTATTTATTATTTTTTTTAATGAAGGGAGAGTCCCAGCATGCTGTGGTCCCCCTGCCCCAGCCTGCCAGTTAGCAAGTATTGCAGGTACACACTGCAGTGCCTGTCGTGTTAAGCATGGTCTGGGATCTGGACCTGGGCCTACCGTGTGGCTCCAGCATTGCACAGTGGGATCCTGCTGCCTGAACCTGTGGCTAGTCCTGAGCTTGTCATTTTTTGAGTGACCTGGTTAGATAATGGTGCTGTCAGCTGTGAACTCGCTCTGTTTTGCTAGCGTAACCATTGAGTTGAGCAGTGGATATTGTCATATAAGATGACATGATTATTGTTAAAATAACCTGGAGGGTGTAGAGCATGGATTGAAGAAGATGGGCTATTATAACGGAAACTATTGAGGCTGAGTGGTGTTCATTATACTATTTTTATTATTATAATAGAATTAATATAAAACTATGATTAATTGTTCTATTGTCTATTTTTATGTGTTTAACATTTTCCTTATAAAAACTTCAGTAATAAGATGAATTGACAAATTTGTTAGACTTTTTTTTTTTGCCTTATTTTTAAGATATAGATTACAAGTGGTCTCCTGAAATAATGTATGTATAATTTTTCAGACATATAAACTACCCTCCAGCCTGACAGTTTACTGATGGTCAACTTAGATCTGGGTCTCTAGCAATGTGCTAAACTTCAGTACTTGCTTATACTCAACCAGTGGTAGGTTTAAGCTCAGCCTAAATTGTAATTATTTGAAAAAAGAAACATTTTTGGAAAGTTGATTATGTAGTGATTTTTAAATGTAAATTTTAAAGAAATTATACCCTAAGGAAAATACATTTACAAGAAAAAATATGATTTCATTTTTTTGGGGGAAGTGTATTTAACTCAAATTTTCAATTATGAATTCCTTGAAAGAAGTGGCCAAAATTTCTTCTGCATTTCTGTCTTGCCCAATCTCTTTTTCTTAAAATGGAGATACCAGCAATGCTACATTTGACACAGCAATACTGCACACACGAGATGTATGTACACGGGTATTCACCAGCACATTGTTTATAACAACAGAAGTTTGGAAACAAACACACTGCCTGTCAGTACAGTCTGCTTAAATATATTTCACATACACACGTGCACACGTGAACACACACACACACACATGACATACTATGCAACCATAAACATGACTAAGTCCCCCTCCAGGCACTCATGTGCAAAGCTTGCCAGGGTATAGAGGGTACTTCCAAAAGTTTGTGGAAAATGGAATTAAAGTAAAAGTTTATTTTGATGCAAATTTTGAAATCCATGCTTAGTATTTTTTTTTTTGAGAGGTTTTCGCTATAGGGCGTGTGCGCTCGCCAGACAGACAGAGAGAGACAGAGACAGAAAGCAAGAAATCACCCCCCAGCGGGGATGATCACGCCGCAATCCCTTCTCCTCCATTCTCCTTTCAGGATCTTGGGCACGCACGCACACGTGCCCGGCGCGAGTTTTTTAAGTCACCGGGTCCAGGATGCGAACCGTGGTTGACCATGTGGGAGTCCAGTGACATAGCCATTACACTAACTGCTGGTTCCCCATGCTTAGTATTTTTCATGTAAGCCTTTTCTGTGAACTTTTCGAAGACCTTCTCATATATATATAGTGATAAAAAATGACATGCAGAATGGTTTGCTGCTGTTTCTCTTGTAAAAGGAGAGGTCAGCAGAAGAGGGTGCGTATACCTTGCTTGCTTATGCACGAGAGATGGTGGCAGATACAGAGTTCAAATACTGTTAGTTACCTGTGGGGGGGGTGGGGCGCGGGGAGAAAGTGGTGGATGTTTAAAGTGGTGGATGTTAAAAGCGGGTGGAGTGTAGAAAGGTGGAGACTTCTCATTGTATACCTTTTCTTGTATTATTTGGTATTTTAACCATGTGGACAAATTACCTAATTACCTGCTTAAAATTTTTAAAATCTAATCTTTAAGTTTAAAAAAAATTTTTTTTATATTTAGTAGTTTGAGGTGGTTTCCAGTTAGCTCTATCCTTAACAATTTGTATATGAAATCTTAAGGGAACAATTACCAAAGAAATTGTTATTTTGGAAATCTCAAAGACTTATTATTTTTCTTTTTTTTCTTTTCTTTTGGGGACTTCCTGCATGCCTCAGTTTTCAGAGATCCAGGGAGAGGTAATTAATCCATTAGGTTTTCCTAATGAGTGGGATACAAGTACTATCCTACTATCAAACCCTTGACCATGTTTACTTTTTCCTTCAGAATGCCAACTTTTCTAAGTGTTTTCTATAAGATGACTACATTCGGCCCTGTGCTAACTTGTACCTTTTTGTAAAAATGACTTCTGTAGCAGTGTGTGATTCTTACAACTGTGTCTTTCTGACTGGGCCCAACACTGTCCCAGTATTTGTCAGGAAAATACCAGGATTGAGAACATCTTCCTGAATTTAGCAGATTTTGGAATGTGAGGAGTTAGAGTTAGTGTATGCTGTATAAATAATACAGAGAACTATTTGGGGACTTGCAAGCATGGGTCAGGGTGAGTGGAACAAAGGGTGGCAGAAGTGTTCTTTTCATTCAGCGTGAGAATGTCTTGGTGTCTCTGCATGAAAGTATTTAATGTACAAGAGAGTTGAGTCAGAAATATAATTTTAACCTGGACTTGGTGATGCTGAAAATACTAGAAAATATGCTTTGAAGGCATTGATAATTAGACTTAAACGGTTACATCTACCTTGCAGACTTGGGTGGGGCTGTTTCTGGGCCCTCTCTTTCCACAGATCTTTCTGTCTCTAATGCTGCTAAGAAATCAAAATCATAGGGACCATTAGTTGGTATAATGGCTATGTTACTGGATTCCCATGTAGTCGACTGGGGTTCGAGTCCCGGACCCTGTGGCTTAAACTCATGCCGTGTGTGCATGCCCAAGATCCTGAGAGGAGAATGGAGAAGGGATCGCAGCATGGCCATCCCCCCTGGGGGGTGATTTCTCACTTTCTTTCTCTCTGTCTCTGTCTTTCTGGCAAGTGCACATGCCCTATAGCAAAAACCTCTCCCCTCCAAAAAAAAAAAAAAGAAATCCAAGTCATAGACGAGACACTCGCTCTGCTGCCTCCTTCACATCATGTCACCTCATTCCTCATGTCACACAGCGTGAGCATGTTTAGGCTCAGCTTTGATGGTACAGGTGGGAGAGCTGTGCGGTAGCTGAGGAAATGTGGGAGGCAGACGGGGTGTGGTGGCACATGTACATGCCTGGGGTCCTAGCTAACTGGGAGGCTGGGGCAGGATGATAGCAACCACAGTATGGCTAGACCCTGTCCAAAATTCTTGTCTATCTCTGTCTTTCTCCCTCCCTTTTTGCTTTACTCCTTCCATGTTCCCCTCTCTCATTTAAAAGAAAAAAGATATATTTATATTTGCATTAATACTTATAATTACATGGGAATACACAGGATAAGTTCTGGTCACCCCTTCCCTTAGTTTTCAGATACTCTCATACAGAGATTCATCAGTTGGGAGGAAGAGTGAGATTAAGAGGGTGACAGAGAAGGAGGAGTAGAAGGGTGTGGTGGATCAGGGCCTGTAGGGAGGTGAGAGAGGATCTGTAGAAGGTGCTAAATACAGATTCATGCTCTGGCCTGAGAATACTTTGAATTAAGTCAAGACTGTTTTTCATGCTCTTGTTTATTGATGCTCCCTACATATTAAAATAGAAATCGTTTTACTAAACTACCAAGATGGAATTGATTAACTAATCTTTAAAGAAATAAATAGAATTTGATCAACTACTCCAAATTTTAAATTCATTATAGGGCCTAAAAAGTTATTCTTGGGATAAGTCTTTCAATTACAGATATAAAATATGAACCCCAGTTGAAACGATATTGGCCATTTATTGTTACTATTTCATTGTTATTGTAAGGATACTTTTTATAGGTATAGTGAAAACTTAGCAAGCTTTTTATGATGATCATCTACCAAGACTAACTGGCATTTAGGTGCGGAATTAATTTCAATATGTTGGTCTTTCCACTTCAAGTTGGCTGTGTGTTTTTGCGGTCTTTTGAAATACGAGAAACCCTGTCCACAAAAATATTGTCATCTCTAAAGCCATTTTAGAGGAATTTTATTTTTTATAAGTTAGCAAGATATGGTACGTTGTCATCTTCTGATTGGAGTTTTTGAGGAAATTAAAAGTAGTCAATAGCTCGAGTGAATATTTAGTTAAACAAAACTATATTGTGTCTTTTGGCTTTATCCCTTTTTTGAGAAGTAATTATTTAGTGTAGCTTTGTAAAGGCTGATGCCAGTGCCAGACATGAGTCACTTCTCCTTTAGTTGCATTAGCAGCTACTCTTGGACCTGAAATGTCACTGGCACTTCTCTTTGTCACTTTTGTGTTCAAAATCAGACCCTTTTATGGAAAAATCCAAAGAATTTGTGTCTGGCAGTGGAGCAGGAACAGGAAGCACACGGGGACCAGGCCACAGCCTCGAGCCTGCCCGGGACTCTTGTGTTCTTGCCCTTTCCACTTTGCCTCCAAGCAAGATGCTAACTACAAAAAGTTGCTATAATGAATGGATTTTTTTATTTGGATTTCTCCTGTCAAGACAGATAATCCCTAATTCCCAAGCTAGTTTAGGGATCCAAAACCAAGACCAGGTCCTTCTCGCTTGGATGCCCTTAGCATGGCGGATTCCTAAGTATGTTAGACGTGCCGAAGGTGAGAAGCAGACCAGAGACTCATCTTTTTAGGTTCATGGTGGGGTGTAGATTACTGTGATAGAAGGTTAAACCAAAAGAATACACTTTTCAACTTTTATATCTGTGCTGTTTAAAAGAACCAAAAATTTCAGTATCTTATGAATCTTTTTTTTTTTTTTTTTTGCTACAGATTTTTGCTACAGGCGCATACGCTCACCAGAGACACAGAAAGAGAGAAATCATCCTCTGGGGGATGGCCATGCCATAATTCCTTCTCCTCCATTCTCCTCTTGGAATTTGGGCATGCATGCACATGTACCCAGTGTGAGTTTTAAGCCACTGTGTCCAGGACTCATACCATGGTCAACTACGTGGGAGCCCAGTGACAGCCATTACTCCATCTGCTGGTCCCATGAATACTTTTTATTCATAATCCTGAGGTCATCTCCTGACGTATATTTAACTGGGTTGCTTTATTTATTAGTTTTTTTGTCTCTCCCCACATTTCAGTAAAGGGAGAAGAGCTCTAGAACAGCCAAGCATACAAAATTAACAGCAAAGAAAGTAATTGCCTTGTCCCTCGGGGACCGCGTATGTAGCCATACCCTGACCCATAAGGGTCTTCTCTGGTAGGAGAACGGACACGGACACAGGACAAAAAGTACAGAGAGAATGATTTCAGAGGGCGTCTTCCCGGAGGTTCATGGGTATCAGCTGGAAGAGAGAAGAGTGTCGCACCCAGCTTATCATTTGAATTTGCTGTTCTCTGTAAATCAGGGTCCTTTCTATCCCCGAGCGAATTGAGATCCATGTCTTTAGACTGTGAGACCAGGGACAGGTAGTGTGTGAGATTTCTCGAGGCTAAGAGGACCTGCTGGTGGATGGATGGAAGGAAGTGGGCGGGTCTCCATTTCTCCTGATCTGAAGGGCTGACAGCATGGTGAAGGTGTTGTCTCAGTATCTGCACATGCTCCTGCGTGTTCCCACTTCAAACCTTCGAGTACACGAGGGGAGGCAGGAGGACTGCTGTTCTGTTCTGATCTGTTCTGATTTGGTAGTAACATTGGGTGTGGAGTGCTGGGAAAAAAATTACCCATGAAGCTAGCAGAGCCCTGAGTGAGCCTGTGGCAGAGGGGACACTTACAGTATTTGTCACTGGACCATTTGACATCAGACAGCCCAGGTGCCGATTCCAAATCAGCCACTTAGTTTTCTTAAAGGATGGAGTGCTGTCACATCAGCTGCCCAACAAGAACGAAAATCTAAAATATGAAAATGAATTTATTCTCAAATTAAGTGAGTTGTCTTCATAATAACCTTGTATGAGCTTGAAAGTGTAAACAAAGCATGAGGCTTTTCTTCCCTGAGAAGATTATTGACCTAGTGCTCAGGCACCTGATGGCGATATCCCAGAGTACACAAAGCCGCCACATCCCAGGCAGATAATTAAATTCAAATGCAAAAAACATTAACAAATCATTAAAGTATGTAAATGAGTGTGCGATTCCTATAACACAAATGCTCCCGCGGTGAAGTGTTAGGGTTCAGAGTTCCCCTGGTCGCGTTCATGCCTGTTTTGTTTCCTTGCTTCCTGATGAGGGCTGGACGTCATAGCATTTTTAAAAACCCTGTCAAGTGCTGAGAGAGTTCCTAGGGAAGCGAGGCGTTCTCTGAGGTAAACAGGATCCAGATCACTTAGGGCTTATTGATTTTATGATCAGTACTTAGGGTGTTGCTAAAAGCAGATAGGTTTCCAATACATATCTGAAACCTAAGAGGCTTTTCCACCTCGATCCATCTTAAAGAGCAGCAAAGAGCTTGCTGTTCCTCTCCACATTCAGGCCATTAGGAAAGAAAACTGGAGTTAATCGTTGGGGTCATTCATCCATGGACACTAGTTTAAAATAATGTTAACAGTCTTACTAAATTGTAGTGAAACAGAAGCTAGAGATTGCCCAACAGTTCAAAGTGGACTTAAAGCATTTAAAAGCTTTGCAACTCTTTTCTTAAAAATTTTGTACAAGTAGCATTTGGTTGGGGCTGCTTTCTTTACTGGATAGAACTGATGTTAGTGTTTTGATGGACTCACATTTTTATGACCCACCACAAGTTTACAGTGGTCGCTTACTCCATTAGTGGACTGGCATTATTCTTGTGTTATGCAGTGAAACCTTTTTTATGGGAATTCACAAAATAAGTTGAGAGTACAATAAAACTTGTTAATTCAGAGACTTCCATAATTGAGAACTGATTATTTGACTTTTTTTGAGCCAGAATTTATCTTTCATATCAATTAAAAATGAGAGGCTTGGTAATACACTGTCTGAAAACTTTAACAATCACAGATTATTTGAATGGGGCTAGCCATGTAACACAGTGGTCAAGCCCTATGCTTAGGGAGCCAGAGTCCACATGGCTGATGGTAGTTGGAATCTTGGCCCCTGACAGCTTGAAAAACACTCTGGGTGCATATACATATATGCCCCAAATCCTGTCCGTATGGAGAAATGGAGGAAAAAGGATTACTGCATGACTGTATCCCACTTCAGGAGGTGGGGGGGCTTTCTCTTTCTCTCTCTTTCTCTTATTCTCTGGCAAGTGCATGCACCTTCTCACAATTAAACGAAAAACTATAAAAATAAAAGCTGTATGCACCTAAATAGAAACATGTACTCCTAGAGAGGAGAGAAGAGACACCTTCCAATAGTAGGGATGTTCTTGGGTTTCAGTTGAGAAGCTGCAGTGTAGAAAGAATATCTCAATGCAGAAATGACACCAGAAGCAGAACTTCAGGGAGAATTTCAAAAGGAATATTTTAATATATCCATATTTTGTGAGAAGGCAACAGGGCATAGCAGAAGGCATGAGGATAGAACTCACTGGGAGACTGTAAGTGGAGGGATATGCAAACACAAGGTGTTATCATTAGGGAAATTGATACTATGAGCAATGACAAGTCTGAGAAGAAAAGCACTCTTGGCAGTCAGACTGACCATGTCCTGTAAAAGAAATAACACTGTGATATATGACAGGTTTTTAGTGAATATCTTTAAGTATTTTTGTTAATTGAAGAATGCGAAAGAAAATTCTTGATTTTGTTCCTAAATAGGGCCGGTGGGAAAGTCAGCAGGATGTCTCTCAAACCACAGTTTCCAGAGGAATAGCACCAGTCCCCACAAGTCTCTCTGTTTCACCACAAAATAACCATTCTCCAGATCCAGGTGAGTTATTCTTTTCATTTGTCATTTACTGTCATGACCTTTGAGCATCTTTCAGAAAGAGTTTAAATTGGGTTTTCCTATTTAACTGCTGCTCTACTGGTTAATATCTAGTTGAATTTTCCCACTTCTTAATATGTTGAAGCAGGTTGATTTTGTAATGTTGAATTTATTTTGTCTTCCTCTGACAAATACTACATGATCATGGTGATCATAGTGCATTATTCTTTATGTATTTGACCCTGTTTACACACACACACACACACACACACACACACACACACGAAGAATTATTTCATTTATTTATTTATCTATTATTTTTTCACTTGAGTTTTGCCAGAGAACAACAGAGAGAGAGAGAAAGAGAGAGAGAGAGAGAGTGAGAAAGCAAGCCTCCAGGTCTGGGACTTGAACCCTGGTCAGCCATGTGGGAATTCCAGTGCCTTAACCACCACACCACCTGTTGGCCCTACAAATACATATATATATATTTTAAGTTTATTTATTTATTTCATCCATGAGTGAGACAGAGGGACAAGCACGCCCAATAGAGTTATGCTGAAATTCAGCCCCAGTTTCAGCCAGCCTTGGAGCATGGGGCACATGTACCCTCTTTATTTAGAGACATCTCCAGATGCAACCTAGAACTCACATATAGATTGATCTAGAACCTTTCCATGAGGTCAGCCTTGCAGTGTCACATTGCCTCTGCACCACCATTTGGTCCCTGTTTACTAATGTTTTGTGACGGATTTTTTTATGTGTTTTCTATAATGATATCCGTACTTTTAAACTTTCTCATTTCGTTTTGTTAGTTTTTGGTGTCTTGATTGCATTGGTCTCATAAAATTACTTCGGAAATGTTTCTTATCTGTTTTTCTGGAAGAAAATGTTTACATAACATTGGCATTACTTCATCTTTAATTATTTGACATAATTCTCCAGAGATACTCTCTGGGCCTGGAATTTCTTAGTTGGAATATTTTAAATTATGACTTGAGTTTCTTTAATATAGGATTATTTCGATTTTTATATTTCCTGAGTCAGGTTTTGTAGTTATATTTCAAGGAATTTTCTGTTTCACCTAGATTATTACATTTATTTTCACAAGTTTTACAACATTACCTCACGGTAATGAAGATCCCTTACAATGTTCCTTGTCTTTATTTTGTTTTATTTTCCCCCTGCTTTTCTTGAATACTTTTGCAATAGGATTATGAAATGTATTCATGTTGTCACAGGGCCAAGTTTTGGCTTTGTTAATTTTCTTTATTGTTTATTTTCTGCTTCATTAACTTTTGAAATTTATTTCTGTGTGTCATACATTTTGACATGTTGCGCTTCCTATTCAGAAAATCTTTAATTTCCCTGTGATTTCTACTTTGACCCATGGGTTATGGAATAGTGTGTTAATTCATTTTTGTATATTTGGGGACATTTTCTAGTTAACTTTCATTATAATCAAAGAATAGACTCTTTAATATATCAGTCTCCTGAAAATATTTGAGACGTTTTTTTAAGAGAGATTTTTTGCTATAGGGCACGTGTGCTTGCCAGAAAGACAGAGAGAGAGACAGAGAGACAGAAAGCGAGAAATCACCCCATAAGGGGGATGGTCACACCACAATCCCTTCTCCTCTGTTCTCCTCTCAGGATTTTGGGCACGTACACACACGTACCTGGAGTGAGTTTTAAGCCTCTGGTTCCAGGATTTGAACCACAGTTAGCCATATGGGAGTCCAGCAACATAACTGCTATGCCATCTGTTGATCCCAAATATTTGAGACTTTATGTCTCAGAGTATGTTCTATCTTGGCCACCATTTGATGTGCACTGTTGTGTTTGAGGTATAGCATGCGGTGTATATCAAATTAAGTACGTGTAGCCGATAGTCTTGTTCATATCTTCTGTATTCTTAACTGATTTGGGCGGTGGAGGAGGCATTTGTTCTATCAGTTCCTGAGAGGGCGTTTGATATCCAATATGATTGTGAAATGGTGTTTATTTCCTTTTAATTATATCAGTTCTTTCATTCACTTAAAAATTCTATTAATTAGGTATTTTCATCTCTCTTCAGCCTGAAGAATACTGTTTAGTAGTTCTTATAGTGTGTTCTCCTAGAGAAAAAAAGCTTTCCTCTTTTGACAGTATCTTTATTTTTCTATTTTTTAAAGGATATTTTCATCAACTCGAGAATTCTGGGTTGGTAGCTCTTTTCTTTTAGCATTTTCAGAATATTTTATCGTCTCCTGACCCCTTTAGTGCTTAGAATCCAGCTATCGGTTGTGCCATTTTCACCCTGAATGTAATGTGTCTTTGTTGGATTTGCAACCTTTCAAATTTTTCTCTTTTTTGTTTTTTTGTTTTGTTTTGTTCTGTTTTTAGTGGTCATACTGTGGTTTGGTCAGGTATAGTTTCCTGGGTACATATCTTGCTCAGGTTCCACCATGCCCTTAAATCTATAAATTGATATTAATCAGCTAGTTTGAATAATGTTCAGGTAATGTTCATTAAATTATACACCCCTGGGGACCAGCAGGTGGAGTAATGGCTATGTCACTGAACTCCCATGGGGTTGACCACAGTTCGAGTCCTGGACCCGGTGGCTTGAACTCAAGCCGCATGTGCATGCATGCCTAAGATCCCAAGAGGAGAATGGAGGAGAAGGGATTGTGGCATGGCCATCCCCCCGGGAGGTGATTTCTTGCTTTCTGTCTCTCTGTCTCTCTCTGTCTTTCTGGTGAGCACACCCACCCTATAGCAAAAACCTCTCAAAAAAAAAAAATTATACCCCTGTCCTTTTTGTTCCTTTTGTGTCTTCTGAAGATCTAATCATGGACAGGGTTTGATTGCTTACTATGACCCTATAGCTGACAAAGGCTGTATTTTTTTCTATTTTAGACAGGGTCTTGCTGTTGTAACCCTCTGCCTCGGTGTCTGGGCTAGGACTATAGACACACACCACTACACCCAGCACTATTTTTAAAATTTTTTGATAGAATATCACTGTGTTGCCCCGGCCAACCTTCAGCTTATTACCCCCCTGCCTCAGTCTCCCCAGCTCTTGTTTTAAATCCCCTAAATTGTTGTTTTTAAAAATTATAATCATTACTTACGTGATTTACATATTTATAATTTAGTTTTGCTCATCGTTTCTCGTATCTCATCCTTTCTTGGGGGCTTGGTTTCTTCCTTAGTGAATTAATCCGTCATTAGTGCATTTAGTGATTATTCGTTAGTGACAACTCTATTTCTTTTTTGTGTTAAAATTTTTATTTTGCTCTCACTTTGAAAAGTCCTTTTACTATGGAAGTATCAAACACACAGAAGTGAAGAGAGTAATATCAAATGCCCTCGAGAACCCAACTCCCGATTTCAAAATGATCAGTTCCTGACTAGCCTGATTTGTTTGTACTCTTGTTTTTCCACACACTCCCGTGGGGATTTTAAAGCAAATCCCAGATGTCATTTCATCTCTATATTTTTTGTGTGTGTAGCTCTAAAACTATACACACAATAACTTTTACTCCTAAGAAAAACTTTAAAAATGATTTCTACCTATTATCAAACTTTAAGCAGTGTTCAGATTTCTCCATTTGGCTGAGAAGTCCTTTTCAGTTATCTTGAATGAAGATTCAAGTAAGAGTCATATGTTGTAATTGGTTGATATGTCTCTTAAGCCTCTTGCATCTCTGTATTCCCTTCCATCTTTTTTCTTCTTCACAGTTGTGTTTGTCGAAGAGACCAGGTTCTTGTTCAGTTGATTGGTACGGTAAGCCAGGTTCTTGTACAGAGTGGACTGTACACTCTTGTTTTTGCTGGTCGCCTTGTCATTAGGTTGCTTAAACATGACTCCCTGTCCCTGTGTTTCCTATCTTTGTAGTTTGAGTGAGGACCTTTCTCACATTCGGGTTAATTTAAGAGCTGTGTACAGATGCCAGAGAGGTTGGAGAGCCATGATGTCTGATTGTCTTTCATTTTGTGATATGTGCAGCTTTTGATCGATGAGATTTTTGCTTAATTAGTCATCACCTTCATTGTAGAAAGTTAGTTTAACTTGATATAGAAATCTAGACTGTTGTCATTTTATTTTTTAAGTGTTGAGATGATTATGTTCTTGTTCTGGCTCTTTATTCACCTTTAACTCGTTTTATTTTCTATCGTCACTCCTTTTGGATTTTTCTGCATTTTTTATTTCTTTTCAATTACTTGGCTTTTCTGAACTCAGTTGCACTGTATGTCTTGGACTTGGAGCCCTCTCTTCGCTGTATTTGTTAGTGGTTGCTCTCACGGTTACAATGCACATTCTTAACTCTCCAGAGCCTACTTAGAGTAAGTTTTATGTGCTTTATGTAAAATGTAGAAACCTTTACAGCTCTGTTGGGCCATTTACCAACTGTATTGCCGGTAAGCTTGCAGTCCTTTTGGGGTCAGTGTAGAGTTCTGGGGGTCATTACACACTCCTTTTCAGGTAGAATATACACATTCCTAAAGGTGACTTGCTTGTTCTTCTTAAAGCAGTATACAGATACAGCTTTTTATCATTTGTAACTTGGATTAGGTTTGCCTGTCATTAGGAAGGGGGAAGAACTCTTACTATATCATAAATATTATCTGGTTCCTGATTTTAGTCTTTAATAGGTAAGAGCATAGTTAGTTCAGGGCTTTTATCCCTCTCTTGTAAAACAACCCAAACGCCACCCTTTTCCCAAAGGTTCAGTTTTATGATCTTCCTTTAGTTACAAAACATAGTTATGAAAAGATTGGAGTCGAGTAAGACAGCCTCTGGCTGCAGAGAGCTTGCAGCCTAGATAGAGAAGTATTACGTGTGTCATTGACTCTGTGACTTAAAAATCAAATCCTGTTTTATCCTAGGGTGGAAGTTGGTACCTGTACCAATTAGTGACCCACCCTGTTAGGAACACCGCATGTTAGAATGTTTTAGACGTTTCCCAATTACTGCCATCTTATTGGAAAGGAAGCACCATTGCCATTGTGCCCGAAAGTGACTACTGAGATGCTGTTTTTCTAGCATTTATCTTTTTAGAGATTATTTATGTGATTTATATTGTTAGATTTGCCGACAACTGATGTTTGCAAATTTACAGGGAGAAAATGTCTCTGCGTTTTCTTGTTTCATCGTTTGTCCTCTCACTGCTGTTGACAGGACTCAGTAGCTTTGCAGCTTCCTACTTGAATCCAGTGAAGTCCTTTGTGCCACAGATGCCCAAGCTGCTGAAGTCTCTCTTCCCTGTCCGCGATGAGAAAAGGGGCAAGCAGTCATCCCCTCTTGCCCATCAGGTAAAAGGCATCCGACAGGGAACATCTCAACAGCTGCCTCACAGATCACTGGCACGGCGATGCTCCGTGTTACGCCCAGGCTAGAGGCAGAGGGACATAGAGTGATGAGGGTGCTAGACCTGGGCTTTCACACCTTTTAGTGCTGGTGGTGATTCCTCTCCCACTCTCTTCAGAGATAACAGAGCTGTTTAAACTTATTGACATGCTCCATCCTTTTTGCTTTTAAAAAGTGCCAAGGACACAACTAATGTGATTTATGGTAATATCACTTAGAGCAACAATAGTAAAATTTATGAAGTGCACTTAGCATTGTTTGTGTATTGCCAAGTAGAAAATGTCATTCTATTTTTAATTCTTGATTTCATTTCTTTCTTCAGTTTTACATCATAACTGTCCTTTCCTCTCAACCTGTTCTTCTACAGTGGATAACCTGTTATTTCACTTAAAAGTGATCACTTATCTTATTTCCTTTTCCTTTTTTTTTATTTTTTGTAATTCCACTCAGCCCTAGGATAAGTTCTAGATAAAATGTTAAAGGGTTTTGCAAACAGTCAGGAAGCTGCTCTTAGGCAATGGTGAATGGGAACTTTGTTGGAAATGCAGTTTCTAGTCTTATGTAGGTGTTAACTCAGCAGAAAATGATAAATGAGGATTTATTTATACTCATTCCAAAACACATACAGTGCAGGTTCAGTTGTTGAAATAAGTCTTCTCACATCAGCTTCTCTCCACATTCTTTTGAACTTTTGAGTTGCAGAAATACAGATAAGTAGTTGTTTGAGACATAACTACTTAAAAAAAGTTTCTGAGTTCTTGAATGCATATTCAAGGGAGATGGAATTATTTTTACAAGGCTGCTGTGAGCATATGTATTTTTTTTTCAATCTGACATTATATAAGCTTATACATAAGCCCCCATGTATACACAGTGGATAGGAAAAATTTATATTGAAATTTTAAAGATGTTCAAATTATATTTAACTAGTCACAGAAAGGGTGTTTAACAATTTCTTACACTTATAAATGAAAACTATTGGGTTGTCAGAAAAGTACTGATGCATTTTGCATAGAAAATCAGAAAATATACATCTTGACTTTTCTGACAAAACCAATATAAAATTTTGATATAGTTTGGAATATCAAAAATATTTTTAAATAATTATTTATGTATTTATTATTATTTTTAAAAAATTTGCTATAGGGCATATGTGCTCACCAGAGAGAGACAGAGAGAAAGTGAGAAGGCAGGCTGCCAGGTCTGGGACTCAAACCAAGTCGGCCATGTGGGAGTCCAGTACCTATTTCTTACACTTATAAATGAAAACTATTGGGTTGTCAGAAAAGTACTGATGCATTTTGCATAGAAAATCAGAAAATATACATCTTGACTTTTCTGACAAAACCAATATAAAATTTTGATATAGTTTGGAATATCAAAAATATTTTTAAATAATTATTTATGTATTTATTATTATTTTTAAAAAATTTGCTATAGGGCATATGTGCTCACCAGAGAGAGACAGAGAGAAAGTGAGAAGGCAGGCTGCCAGGTCTGGGACTCAAACCAAGTCGGCCATGTGGGAGTCCAGTACCTTAACCACCACACCACCTGCTGGCCCAATTATTTATTTTTTAATTGACACATAATAATTGTAGCTATGTGCAAGATATGGTATGAATTTTTTTCTTTATTTTAGTGCATAAATACGATGCGCATTGTGATCAAATCAGGGTCATTAGCATATCTTTCACCACAGACATTTGTTACTATTTGTGTTGAAAATACTTGAAATTCTTTTAGCTATTTTGAAATTTGTAATGAATTCTCAGTAACTGTCATTGCGCCACTGTGCCGTAACAGTAGGATTTGTTTCTTTTATGTACCTGTAATTTTGTATTCGTTAACCCACATTTCTCTTCCCCCTCTTCCTCTTACCCTTCACGGCCTCTAGTAATGCTTGATCTTCTCTCTACTTCCGTGAGGTCACTTCTTTTTCAGTATCTGCATGACCGAGAACTTGCGGTATTTTTCTGTGACTGAGTTATTTCACTTAATACAGTGTCCTTGAGGCTTGTCCATGATGCTTTAAATGACACGATTCCATTCATAATTGCATTCTCTCGTGTCTGTATACTGCAGTTTCTTTATCTATTCATCTGTTGTTAGATGTCAGTTATTGAAATGAATCTGTAACTGTGGGAGCTAAGTTATGGGAGGTTTGGAGAGAGGCAAAAATGATGTTTCCTATTTTTTGTCATTGTGTACATTATTGTGTTCTAAACATCTATTAATATATTGTTTCATGTACCAGCAGATGGAATAATGGTTATGTTGCTGGACTCTCGTGTACTTGACCGTGGTTTGAGTCCTGGACCCGGTGATTTGAAACTCACATTGGCCGTGCGTTTATGTGTGCACAAAATCCCAAGAGGAAAGTGGAGGAGAAGGGATTGTGGCATGGCCAGACCCCCAGAGGGTGATTTCTTGCCTTCTTTTTGTCTCACTCTGTCTCTCCAGCAAATGCATGCGCCCTACAGCAAAATCTCTTTCTCTCTCTGTATATAGAGTTTCACAAAGTGTGATTAATGAACTGTCTTTGGAAATTACCAAGGTAGATTTTTTTTTTAAGAATTATTTAACTTTTATTCATTATTATTAGTTTTCTTTCAATTTTGACCAGAAAGAGAGAGGGAAAGTGAAAAAGTAAGCCACCAGGTCCAGGACTCAAACTGTAGTCAGCCATGTGGGAGTCCAGCACTCCAGCACCTTAACCACCATACCACCTGCTGGCCCTGGTAGATTTTTTTTTTTTTTAAATAAAATCTCAGGCTGGCCTTTAGCTTGGTGGTTAAGGGAGCTGGATTCCATATAGCAAACCAAGCAGTTCAAACAAATCCCAACCCCAGAGGCTTTAAAAACATGTGGGTTTGTGCCCATATGTGCCCCAAATCCTGACCGGATGGAGAAATGCAGAAGGAATTGCAGCATGATTATTCTCTATGGGGATGTATTTTTGTCTCTCTTCCTCTTTCTGTCTCTGTGGTCAGAACACACATCCTCTGGCAAATAAAAAAATAAGGTTTCTCAGCCTGAGCCAGAAAACAGTAGCCCACCTGGAGATGCCTTTTAATCTGCATTTGTAAGTACCTGAGGTGATTGTTACTCAGGAATCACCCGGTTACCATTCAAGTTTGATAACTAGTGCTTCTCATTTGCTGCTGGTTAAAGGAACTTAGCTATGTTGAAGGAAATTGGAATTGCCTTAGAAGTCATTGATTCAGATTACCATAGTTACAATTATTTTTTAAAGCTCTCTTCAGTTTTCCATGTAGCAAGTCATTCAGCTGCTACACGTAGAGCTCATATTCTTACACAGTGGTTCTGTGGCTGAGAGGAACAAGAATGATAAAAAACAGATCTAGTGATTAGAAAATAACTGATTTATAATGTCTGGAATAAAAGAGATCTTGAAATGTTTGAGAGATTTCTTAAGCAGTTCTTGTTTGCTTCAGTTTGTTTTTTGTGCACATGCAAATAAAGGCATTGGGGAAATTGTCTCCATACAAATGTTTCATATTTCATAGGTAAATACAAATATAAATCTAAAACTTACCTTAATGAAGGTAACCCAGAGTGGAGCTAAAACACTCCTGTGGGTTTGTGAAAACACTGCTCCACAGAAGGGGCTTCCCTTTTCTCTGGGTTGTCAGGGCATCCCATCTCGCCCACGCCGGCTCCAGCCTCATCTTGCTGACTTTACATCAACACATTCTGGAAACTTTTCGGTGAGGTTTTGTTTACCTGCCTTCCCTCCTGCTGACGGCTCTGTCCTCAGTCCCTTTTAGGGACCGTTTATTCCATCAAGACTCTGCGATCCATAGATACCCCAGAGCTTTGTCCTGGACCCTTTTTTAAAACAAAACAAAACAGTTTTGTCCATGACTAATCTCATTCAGTTCCATGACTTTAACCATTGACATGAAATAACCAGAGTGATCTTTCATAATATTATATTAGTCCATCCTTGAAACCTCCCAGTGTTTCCCATGAAAACTGGCTAGCATCGAAATTTCTCACTGTGGTTTACAGTGTCCTGTGGGATCTGATTCTCTGACCTTTAGTGTTTAGTCCTTTATTCTTTTTCTTCACCACACTAAGCCATATCAGCCACCTTTGTACTTCATGAACGCACAAGCACATTTCTGTCCCAAGAGTTTGGGCACTTGCCTTTTCTCCCAGTTGGAATGAACTCTTTCACA